ATAAGACAGCCGTTCACTCGTAATCAACTAATTAAGTCGATCAACAAATACGCAAAAACAAATTCATCACAGCTGTAAACTATGCCCTCAAACTATTACGAATAGAGTACAAAGTTACTAGTAATAAAAGTTGTAAGTAAACTATTAAAATTAAAGTAGAAAGTCGCAAAAACTCGAGAAGCAAATAGTGGCGTGCAAAACTAGACGGAAAGGTTCCCTGTGAACAATTAACAGTAGCGTTGTGAAGTCGTGAAAGTTGGCCCTTAAAACTTACAAAAGTGGCTTACAAAATGAAGAGTAGAATGTAAAGGCGAAACGACCTGTTCAGAGTGTTTTACAAAGTGGGGGAAACGTTGCCCGTAATGTACTAAAAGTAGCATGCAAAACCGGCAAAAAGTTGCCGGTATACTATTAAAAGTAGCAAGCAAAGTTGAATCGAGAATCGTTGCCCGTGTATTGAAAGTAGCATGTAATGTCGGCTACACTGCACCGTAAACTAATACAAGTAGCGTGCGAAGTCGGTAAAAGTTATTCATGATGTACCAAATGTAACGTGCAAAGTTGTAAAAATTGTGCAAAGCTAGGAAATGCTGTGCATCAGGATGAAATTTCGAAGTGAGTTTAGCGTCGTCCAATCAACAACCAGCTTCGTGAAAAGGAGGTCAGGCAGAAGAACGCTCCAATAGCCATCATAACCGTCTTATTTGAACTTTGAATCTACATTTATAAATACTTAAAGAAATCACAGTCAACGTCATCCATGGGTTGTCTGAAACGGTTGTGTGTAATGTGCATATTTTAAACCAAAAAAGTCTATTGTAAATTGGAAATTCTGTGCCAAAGTATAATGCTTGTTTTGTGGATGATTATTTAATTGGTCCAAACATCGGTAGATGGCGCCCTCTGGTGTTATAAAGAGAGTTGTAATCAAAAGGGATGTATTTATTTAAATCTTTGAGATGTCTGTAAGAAATAGTTTGTTTAATAATAGTCAAAGGTGTAATTTTATAGCATACTTTGGTATGGAAAACATGTCATCGAATGTATAATGTAGGTGTCACGGTGACACATTTCAACTATGCGAAAATATGTTAATTTTTCTTTAATTGTTTTACCGCTCAATAATGTCTATCTTATACTAACGACACAACAAAACAATTCCCTTCATTTTTATAAATACTTTAAATATTAGTAGCAGTTTATGAATCAACCAGCCAATCAACGAGTGTAGTGTGTAACCACGTCAATGTCATATCTGTCGCATCGGCCAATAGAAATCACTCGTTTCAGTTTGAATTGTGGAACTTATAAATATTATGTAGGTCGAAAAATGGCGGAAATGGGTTTGTTTTGCCGATAATCCTTTTATGAAATACTAGTAGAATAAAACAAAATAGATGACATCGGTAATGACTGCTACATGTAGGACTGAACATATAGTATGTAGGAAATGGTATTTTTTTGTTTTTATCTATTCTGAACCAGCTTTCATTTTATTAACGTAACGGTTGTATAATGCGTTCTCGGAATGCGTTCTATTATCGTCCAATGGATAATCATCATTCTGAGAATTGACAACCTGGGGGGTTATTAAAGTCAGTTGACTACACACCATGTATCCAAAATTACACTTCAGTATAATTGTCGTAATCGGGCTCTATGATAAATAATAAGAATATCTATATTATACGACTGTGTCATCAGAGCGTACCATGTGATTAACAACAACAACAACAACAACATTTACATAGCAGAATTACTCAGATGGTACAGTCAGTTTAATATAAAAGACAATTAGATACATTGTATGCAACGCGGTGCGTCTTTCACTTATATATATAGTAAGTTTTTCAAATAAGTTTCTATTGGGTACTTCTATATTCTTAATATTAATGAACATCTCTCTTATGGTATTTAAGCATTTTTACTAATATTACGTATTTTAAAACTTCTTCGCTCACCAGCTTTTAAAATAAAATACGTTAGACTTCAATCTTCTTTTTATTATATTTTATTACGATGCTAATATTTTTGTTTTACTGATGTCCACAACTTAGACTCGATGTCTCGATGGAGACTGGCATTCTTTATTTTATTCATGAATGTTCAAATTCATTTTTTTTTTGCAATTATATTGTATTTGTTTAGCTTATTTCCTTCACTTTCAACACTACTTGATTTTGTTTATTCCATTCTTCTGATAATCATGGGATAACAATTTAGATTTCAAAATTGGAAAATATTGTTGCCATAATATTCTAAAACAGACAAAACATGCTATTTTCTTACTCCAAATAACATTGATGTTAACTTTTTTTTTTCAGCAAACCATGATGGCCCAGGAGTTTGTCTAAATATAAATGTTGTTGTAAATGATGTATTGGTGATAGACTACTTAGTATGTGTCACTCGGGCAATGACAATTTCACAACTATATGATGAATTTGTTTTTGCGTATCTGTTGACCGACTTAATTAGCTGATTATTAGCGAATTGCTGTGTTATGTCTGTCATCGTTTAGGCAGGCGAGGTCCTGGACGGAACTTGGCTCAGTGATTTGAAACTAATTACAAAATAACCGTCGCTATTCGGACTACTATTTCTGACAGTTAGTATTCGTAGTTATTAATGTAGTGAACGATTAATCAAAAGATATGACGTTTTCAGTGCTTAGTGTGATTGGCTTTATGATTGAAGGTTACGCCCGAGAGTCTTTTTACTGTTTTGTAATTGGTTAGAGTTTTGAAAATGAATAAAGAGAGTTTTGAGTTGGTCTTGGCGAGTACTCCACGATAGATGCAGTCTAAGTCCAGTCCTAGAGAGTCTTGGGCGAGTCTTGGTTCAGCCATGCGATAGTCATGGGGACTTTTCCCCAGGGCGCCGTGTCTTATAGAGTGCTCAAAAGACCGACTAAGACGAGAGTTGAAACGTATTTCGTTGTGTGTGTCTTATTTGACTGTAAAGCTTAAGTGACTTCCCCGATCCCATACCTCAAGGAGACGCGATTGAGAGACGAGACGAGATTCCCCCCAGGCACGTGTGGAGAACCCTAGAGAGAAGAATCACCCCCTGATAACTATTTAAAGGCGGTGGTAGTCGTGCCACGCATTCGCGAGATATGAGACTCATATGAACAAAGATGGCGACTTTGACTGTTACGCAGACCAAAGATTACAATCTGATACTTTGCCATCTTTAATTAGATAATTCTAATCCTCAAAAATATCCATTAAGGTGCTTGTTTGCGAGCACTCAGAGCCTTAAAATTATGTTTTTGATTTCTTTTAATACTTCGTCAGACACTAGCTCAAAATCTCGGAGTTTTGTTACAAGCAAAACATAATAACAAAGTTAACAAGTCAGACATATGGCACGAGAACCACATTCATTGAAACAAAATGGCCGCCAGTCGGCCATTTTGAATCTAATCTGAAGAACAAAATTATGTCCATCAATGTCCCATAATGTCCAACGTATATACAAGGTTTGGACAAAATTCATCTGTAAACAGCCGAGAAATGCTTGATTTTGATGATTTTTAGAACAAAAATAGCCACCATTCGGCCATTTTAATAGAATCGTCATGATCTATAATGAATATTTATTGAATATTTAAAATTTGAACATAATCAGTCAAAGAAAGTCAGAGATATGGCACTAGAACCACATTCATTAAAACAAAATGGCCACCAGTCGGCCATTTTGAATCTTATCTGAAAAACAAAATGATGTGCATCAAGGTCCTATGATGTCTAACGTATATACCAATTTTGAACAAAATCCATCTGTAAACAGCCGAAAAATGCTTGATTTTGATGATTTCTAGCACAAAAATGGCCGCCATTCTGCCATCTTGAATCAGATCGTGAAACAAATTGACGTGCATATGTATGATATCATGTATGATGTATGTGTGAAGTTTCTGAGATATAGGTCCGGACGCACGCACGGACGGACGGACGCACGCACGCACACATGGAGGTCAAAACATAAGTCCCCGTTTTCGGACTGCGTCCGAACGGGGACTAAAAATATCAAAACACTGTGGTATACACCCGGGGGTATACAACAATCTGAATGTTTTAAAATTGATATTATCTACGTTTCGGTTATTCAGTTTGTGAAGGCTGGTTTCAAATTTCAAGAGCTTCCTGAATTTATCCATTGAAATTTTTCACACTACGTAGGTGATGTCTTTTTAAATGAAAGGACGACAAGGATTATTATAAGTATTGTGTGTTGTTTTCAAACAAAGATTCAAAAAGTGAATAACACCTTGTATGACACATTGCTGCAGTACAAAAGAGCACAACATGCTATCAACAAACCCAGACGTTGTTTTGTAGATAAGGAAGGCTCCGACAAAATGTCAACTTTGAACTTTACTGACCAACCACAAAACCAGGTCGGGAGAATGACTAATTTGTAAATCATGCACCCAGCAGACCCAGTGCCATTATATTTACAGACACATACCTGTACTAATTTGGTTACAACTTTCACATAAGCAAAGCAATTACTGTTTAGTAAAATTGTATTCATACTCAATTGAATTGAGATTCTGACATTACCTTTCAAATTATACTTTTATTCAGCCTGTGCCAAGAAATTCAAACAGCGTGAAAGTATCCAAGACGAGCAAAAAATATAATCAGAGCTACTAGTGCCCACGAAGCTGCATCTATAATCGGACATTCCTTTCTTACTGTGGGTTATTTGCCATTGAGCAGGCGAGTTCGAATAATTAAAAAAGTGCCGACAAGAAATAGTTTTGTTTATACTGGACAATGTTTGTAAACAAACGTGGTGCCGTGTCCATGTGCAGAATATATATATCGTCGCTATGCATTGTGGGTCGTTTTGTGTCAAATCGCCATTTTGCCATTTGAAATATGCGGCGGCCCGCTGTAGTTATGTCGCCCGGCAGACATGTACGTGTTTTGTGGACTCCGACTGATCCGATTGACTTTCTATGATAGTCTGAGCTAAGGAAGAACACGATGGATAGTTTGCCGTCAACAAGCGACCGTTTGACCGTCAGGCGATCGCTTGTGCGACCAAAACGACAGAGAATCACGCTTTGTTTTGGAGTCAGTCAGATCTTCCTTGGCTTGCTTATAGTCGCTGTAAGCTTCGCAGCCTTCGGGTTATCGACTTCTAACAGAGTGCGGAATGCATGTCCGTATTGGGCTGGCTTTTCGGTAAGTGAATCTTAAATATATATTTTCTTTCTTAATATGAAAAATAAAAAAAAAGCAAAGTTTAGACTTTTCTCAGGCGCGGTGCGTTTCTTGGCAACGGGAGGATGGATGCAGCTGCACCGCTCATGTAGCTATTTTTAATGATGATGCATAGATCCGGTGCTCCCTCCCCGCCTCGTCCTTCAGTTACATAACCATTCTTCAGTCAGGAGGAAATCGTCGAGACTGTACTACTTTGCACATATTTCAGGTACTTTGCATACCTTTTATCCTGACAATGCGTGTCCTTCAAAGTTCAACTTCAACTTAGGTGAGAAGGACGTTTTAAAACCAATCCCATGTCATGTTATTGCTACTGCCGGGCCGTGTTTTGCGAAATAAACCGATACTATTGCTGTTGAACAGAGTATGATTAACCTGAAAATGTCGATGTTGCTCCTGAACAATACTTATCCTTGCTCTGTGGTTAGTATTTGTGAGTGGGCGTGTTCTCTTATGAGTCGGGAGGGGGGGGGGGGTTCAGGGGTTCCAATACTATTTCCCCAATGTACCTTCACATGCCAGTCACTGAGGCAGCCATACACCCTCTGAAGCAGGGATGAATATATAACTTTGGCATCTCTGTTTTCAAATATCAGACTTTTTTATCCTTAAATTTCTATTCAATAACCCCAGTCATGTCCCATGTATTCATTATTATTATTATTATAATATTTATGTTTAAAAATGTAACTTTCTCAATAAAAGCCTGATGGACACTACTTTTAATAATCCCTATAGACAACACGGCTACAATCAATGTGCTGTTTTATCAAGGTTTTTTTCTACTCCTACTTAACACGGACAGGGTTTGCATGAGGTTACTAGTATCAGCATCATGACAGAATATAATAGTGCTTTTGTCATGTGGAGAGCATGTTGTGGCTGACTTGCATTTAAGCATAAATCCATAGCCTTTATATTAGAACTGTTCAATTGTGAAGGAAAATCTAGAACTGGATCATTGTATTACTTGTCGCTTTTCGGGTTGTACGGTACTTCAAATTGAGGGTGACCTAAGTTAAAAAAAGTTGAGAACCTTATTCTCCACTTCTGTTATTTTTCAAAGGTACTTTTATTTTTTCTACTTAGCACAAAAGGTTACTCAGAAAAAAATTTGCATACATGTATATGACATTTCATGTTACAAGAAATGGAATTAAAATATCACTGTAGTCTGTTTGTAAATCAATGTGTAAAATGAAAAAATAACATGTTTTGTCTGTTTTGGAATATGTTACCATTATAGCAAGGATACATGTATCTCAATATGTAAACATTTTGGTTGGCAACATACATGATAAAAACATGTATACTGAGTGTTTTTCAATGTACTTGTTGATGTTACAAAATTAATATTATTTTTAGAGGATTTTATTAATGAAACAATATGTTTGCGTTGTGGTCAATCAAAACCATGCACAATTATTGTCACAGCTATATAATATGCACTATAATATGTTCACATGTCTACCTTAAAACTAGACTGAAAATTTTTTACTTTTGAAAACTGTTTTTCATACAGGTACATTTTACCATTTATTACTTATAATTTGGTCTCCGTCCGTGCGTGCATCCATGTGTTCGTGCGTCCATCCAGAGTCATATCTCAGAATCCCTTGGACCGATTCCGTTCATTCTTTGCATGTGCCTAGTACCTTATGTGGGACATATGCACATGCAGTGGTTTAGCGATTCGATTCAAAATGGCCGACTGGCAGCCATCTTGTTTTTTGAAAATGTTGTTATGTATTTTGGACATGCTTTGTCAGTTGTCATTCAAACTTGGTACATAGATTTTACATGTTAGGATA